CGCTCTACCACTGAGCTATGCCATCCTCGGACCTCATATAAATTATATATAATAGGAAGTGGATTTGGTGACAGTTGTGAGAGGCTATCATTTTGAAAAAAAAAAATACAGTTAAAATTTAAGATGAAATAAATTGATCTTGTAAATACTACAACATAGGCTACTGCTATTTTAAAACTAGTTACGAAAAATCAAGACGTCGATTGTTATTTCATTTCAAACATGCTCTCTGATCCCAAAGTGCCCATGTTATATGGTCCATATATATTGGCCTCTGAATCATAAAGTTATTCACCAGGGTTAATTTCACATGCAGTGAACAAAACATTCTTCCATCCTCTTCTTCCTCTGATGAATGTCTCAATGGGGTACGTTTTACGTTATAGTAAGTAGAGCATTTTCTTTCTATAAAGATTGCATGTTATTAAGGCTTAGTAGTTATTACAAACAATCAAGAATAACGACATTGCTTTTGAGTGAAAAATGTTCACTATTTGAAATCGACAAAAATGTTAACATTAAACATACCAAGTTTGTATAGGATAGACATATACCATACTATCATATAACTGATAAAACTCTATATAGTGTGTGTCTATGTGTTTGTGTCTGTGTTTGTGTTTGTGTATTTGTGTGTGTACGTGTATATACGTGCATGTGTGTGCTTGCTTGTGCCTCAATTATCTGTAGTTAAAGCAGACACCACGTCTGAGTCTGGGAAAAGAGCATTGCATTCATATTGAGCATATTTACGATACATGGAACAAATACAAAATGCAAAGTATTTTTATTTGTATGTATATAGATAGACAGATACATACATACATGCATACATACATACATACACACATACATACATACATACATACTACCATGCATACTCACATACATACGTAGACAGAAAGATACGCACGGATGTATATATATAGGTATAAAAATAGGCAGATACATCCTCTGGTAATGAGAAACAGAAAATTAACGCCATCTTACATTTAGGAGAAAATCTTGAGACGTACCCAGGGTATAAAATGTCCTCATGCCTGGATTTCGGAACGGGCAAAGAGGCCAAAGTGGGTAGCAACTGCTCAGGAACCGGGGTGCCTATACTTGTCGAAAATGCTGTTTTTGTAAAGCCAGTGCCTATATATTGCTCTTGCAACAGTACTAGCAAAACCATATGTTATTTTTTTTTTTCAAAGACAGCTCTCGCAAAGTAAATGTATGTAAATCATTGTTTAATCAGTATACAATCCGATTATTCCTTAGTTAATAGTAACTACAAGGGATACTTTATATTATTTGTTTTACCCTTATTATTATTTATTTATTATTATTATCCTTATTTATTCTGCCCTTCTCTCGGCTGCTCACCCATTTTCTTTGGTTTATAAGTACAGAGTAAAATTAAAGAATCATGGACCGCTTTAAAGTTGTTTGGAATTTAATGCATACGGTGCGGTAAAAAGAAAATGTCCACCATAAATCTTATCTTAGTACGGGGCCCCGCAGTCATAGATGGTACAATATTGCTTTGTTTTGTTTAAGATACCCCAAGAATATCGTGTTCTTTGGACTTCATAAATCAAAGAAAATTTATATATTTTAGGGCTAGGGTAGACAAATGTATTCTTTCGATTCTACTTTTGTGTGCGCGTAGTGTACATATATTTAAAACCATTAGCATTTAAAGTAATAGGTTTTTACTAACGCTGCTTATGGCACTCACCAACAATTCTTGCCTTTTGAAATTCAGAGGGCTGCTGGTGATCACAAGCACGGTCGGAGGCAAGGTGGAGTCCATGAGCGCAGGGGAACCTCGTGAAGAAAATGCTGAACAGAATCACCGGAAGAGGCTTCATCATCTCTGTTCTTTAAAGAAGCCAAAGAATAAATGGGAAATGAAATGCTTGATAGACGAATATTAGCGAGTAGGATTACAAAGTATGATTACAACGTACGATTAATAGCTCACGAGAGAGAGAGAGAAAAAAATATATGTATATAAATATGTACACACATACGCACACACACATATATGCATGCATACATACATACATACACACAGTTGCAGAATTATATTTCAGTACACTTGCTGGGTCCCGCTTTTGTACATCTGGCAACAACTTTAGTAAATAGTATTATAACAAAGAGTGCGATTGGTAGAACATAAATGGCCAACAAATGTATTAGTATCTATTTTTGGTAACTACTTTTCTTTATTCAAGTGATAACAAAACATGTAGTATTAGTAATCGTTGTCTCTGTAGTGGGATAATTTTCAGATGTGATTTCCTGAAATTGTTTGTTTATCGAAATGGCAACACCAGTGAAGGTGAGGCAGCATTCCCGCTTCTTTCAACCCAAAAAGCATCAATTGTAGCTGCATATTTCTTGAAAATGCTTCTCGTAGGCAGTGGCTACACCATCTAGAAGCGGCTACTCGAACTAATGAAGTGAATGTTTTTTTTTTCTTTACGATACTAAACACCGATTGAATTAA